ATATTTTATAATGACTGTTTTCTTTCTTTTTTCTCTATAATATAGTTGGGGAGAAGGATGGGGTAACAAAGGTTACGTGTATGCAGCTAGAGGCAGAGGAGATTTGTGTGGAATAGCTAAATGGGGAGTCTATCCCACTGGCGTATAAGCTTACTTGTGAGGAATAGCTAAATGGAGTCTGTCCTACTGACGTGTATTGAATTGCTTATTTGACGCGCTTCATTTTCCATGACGTCATCATTGCTCGGTACTTTCGGAAAATTATATTCAATAAACCATGTAGTCACAACTTTCCCACAGGTTTTCTTGTTAGTTGTTTTCTAAGCACAGAATAAAACTGGTATGCTATGCTTCATACAGGGTATTTGTTATTTTTTATTCCTCTTGATGAAGCTTGGAAAACCAAATATAAGTGCATCTTACTTTCTAACTGTAAGAAGAAACTCCCGTTCAATTCTATATTTATAAATTTGATTATCAAAGTATAATTTGTCTGAATTTTAAATACATGTATTAAATAACTTTTATATCATATAAGTAATGACCAAGATATCGATGTAAACTTCAGCTTAAAATACTACAAGTGCCAAATCATTCCGAACCACTGCTGTGACACGTGTCCATGTTGAATTACCTATTTTGGTTAGTGGGTTATTATACAAAGAAAAAACCCGATATATTTACGCTTTTGTCAACATTCTCCTTGAATTAGTATATCAGTTATTTTTAATGGATTAAAACATTAATCCTAACTTGATCAGTATTTACCGTTCACTTTAATTACTCTCTCCTCTTTCCATTTACCTTCTGGTGGCCAGTGGCTTTAAAGCCTAACAAAAATGCGGTCTGATTTAGTTCATTTGTCCTTGTTTTTGAGTTTTCTGCTCATTTAAGGCTAGTTCAAGAGCAGAAGTCTGAAAAAATTCAACTTCTAATTTGGATGGATTATTGGTTGCAATAAAACATTCAGTGGTTCTTGGTCATTGCAAATGGCAGCGCCTATGATTCCTACCTTTTTTGTATATTCCAATCATATTGTCATGTTTAATGAAAAAAAAATCCAGTTATGCTTGGATAATTGTTTAAATAACTAATGGCACAATATTATGGCATATGCTCACCAAAATATTACAGCATCAGAAACGGCTAGCATAAGAGTACAAGTGCAAGAGCCATAATGGAAAATAATATTCACATTGAATCGGCATAATATCGAAATATCTACATGTATATTATGAAATACATCTTATTATTATATGTTTGTCAGAAATATATAATTTTTATTCATGTTTTGATAGATATAACAAAATATAAGCAACGAGATCGCTGCCTTTAGCGGTGACCCAGTGTCTGCTTAAACAAATGTCACATCTGATAGATTACTGGGAAGGCCAAACACTCAGTCAACCTGGTCTATTGGGATATCCTCATTAAATGAGCCGCGTCACGACATAACCAACATAGTGCGTTTGCGACCAGCATGGATCCAGACCAGCCTGCGCATCCACGCAGTCTGATCAGGATCAATGCTGTTCGCTATCAGTTTCTCTACTTGTAATGGTCTGGATCCATGCTGGTCGCAAACGCACTATATTGGTTTTGTCATGACGCAGCTCAAATATCCTTGTACGGAGGATGCCGTCTGAGACAGGAAATCTTATAGACATTAATCTGTTGAACAGAGAAGATATCTGTTACATGAAACAGCATGAATTTGACAGAGCGTTCGCCGGTCAAGACACGCATCATAGTCACAAATAAGCCGACACAACCTTAGAAGTGTAAAGGCTCAGGCGAAAGCTTTCGACATTTAACGCAATTAAAAATATAACTAGAATAATCACAAGTATTATTAATAACACTTTAAATGTATGTATAATAGCATATAACTGACTTAAAAGATAAATCTACTTCAATTGAATTGTCTACATATAATGCTTACAAGGCAGTCTGATGGACAGCTTGAATTTGTACTTCTTGACCGTTAAAAGATTATGACCTTGATGTTATGCCATGTATATTATAAGCACATAGTCTCATGATATTAATTATATGTGCCTAGATATTTAAAATCGTCCATAAATTCAAAATGTTATGGAGAACATTTAACCTTGACCTGCGGGTAGCAATCTGGATGTTGGGTTCTGCACATCATATTATAATGGTGATCATTTCTACCAAGTAATTTCAAAACATTTTCAGCGTTTAAAAAGCTATGGAGCGGACACGAAATGTAGATTTTTTAACATTAATTTTTTAAGAGTGACATTGAACTTGGTGGTAGCAACCAAATTATTGTGCTCTGCACATCGTCTCATGATGATCACTTGTGCGAGTTATTTCAAAAAATTTTCAGCGGTCAAAAAGTTATTGAGTGTCATGAAATGTAGACTTTTTAACACTTGACCTTTAAATGTCACACATTGACCTTGGGGTAGCAATTCAATTATTGCAATCTGCATATCGTCTCATAATGGTGATCACTTGTGCCAAGTCATTTCAAAATTCAGAGGTTTAAAGTTTATGGAGCGGATACAAAATGTATACTTTTTTAACACTTGACCTTTAATTGTGATCTTGATCTTCGGGATAGCATCACAATTATTGCGCCTTGCACATTGTCTCATAAGGTGATTTCTTGTGCCAAGTTATTTCAATTTTTCAAGCGGTTAAAGAGTTTTGGAGGGGACACGAAAGTGTTACGGACGGAAATACGGTCCGACGGACTGACAGACGGAGGCCAATCTTATAACTCCCTTTCCGCTATGCGGAAGGGAATTAATAAAAGACTCAAAGTATCTTAATATAAACGTGCGAAGAATGTCATACTTATGTATTTGTTATTGTGTTTGAAAATGATCTTTAATTTATTGGATGAAAATCTTAATAGGTAAATTTTTCGATGCCATGCTTGGTACACTTCTGGTGATATGAAGACAAAAAAATCTTTGTCATCCAGTCACACAGAATCACCAGAGATACACATATCAGGGCACTGAACAGAATCAGGGCAAGAGAGTAGGGAGTTTTAGATATTACTTAAAATGGTCAAAAGTTTTGAAATTTATTTACAATATTAAATACAAAAAAACAAAAACATTTAAAACATTCTCTTTCCTTGCAGACAGAATCAACTGCTTTAATTTTAGATAATTAAGCAAACATATATAAAATGAGCATTTTTACAAGATCATTTGTCAATTGATTACATATTATTTCTAAACAAGAAATGTGTCGTATCCCCACGAATGCCCCCGCATGCAGGAAAAATTTAAAATGTTATACAATGTTTAATTTCGAATTCGTTTGCACAAACCATTTTTTATTCTAAGTTCAAAACCCATAAACTAATCAATGTTAACACAAACCATTTTTATACAAATTTCAAGGCCCTGAAACTATTCAGTGTTAACATTTTGCAAATTGCATATTTGTAGCCTAGATAAAGATGGGAAATAACTGTTCAAGGGGTATAACTGTAAAAAGACATCTGACCAAAACCAAATTCGAACTTGACTTGTTTTTTCCTAATTAAATACCCGCACATGCGATATCAACTGATACATACATTTCTACAAAAGTAAGAGAGCGGAAACTAAAAAGTTGTTTTCCAAATTTCAAGAGAAATAACTTTTTTTTCAAAATAATCAAACCATGACCAAATTCAAACTTGACTTACTTAATTCTATGGTGTATCTATATGTCAAATTTGAGTTGAATGTGTATTACTCTTGGGGAGATAATGAACGAAAACTTCTTTTTTCAAAGTTGAAGGGGTATCATTCTGCAAAAAATCATCGAATATGACTAAATTCGAACTTGACCTGCATATTTCTATGATATATCAGTATGTAAAACTTGACTTCAATGTGTTTAATTGTTGGAGAGATGACGAGCGGAAACTGATTTTTTTTATATTATGTTCACAGTTAACTTAATATAAATATATTTGGCATAACTTGGCCAAAAACAATAACTTAATCCGAACTTGGTATAAGCATTCCTTTCACGTATCCATATGTCAAATTTGAGTTTAATAAGTACAACTGTTCTGAAGATAATGAACGGAAACTGAAAATTTCTTGAAGGGGAAAAATCATCACCCCATCCCCAAATTCGAACTTAACTTGCATTTTCTTATTATATATCCATATCTCAAATTTGAGTTGAATGTGTTGAAACTGTTGCCAAAAATATGAACGGAAACTGATGATGACGGAATGACGAAACAGGGTAACACTATATGCCTCGGCAATTTTATTGCGGGGGCATAAAAAGTAAACAAACAATAGGAAAATATTACAATCGTTTCAGTAATTTTGACATATTTCAGATTTACGACTGAAAAACAACTAAAACAAGGAATCTATAGGCTAAACACATACAACCTTGTAGAAACACATGGCAAAGTGAAATAAATTGCAATCGTCAAGTGAAATAAATAGAAGATATTGAATGAGTGTAGATTCCGTATCGAATTTATTGAACGAGTTGAATACAACGGTATGCAGCGAGCCTCTGGCGAGTTTCATACCATTTTATTCAACTTGTTCAATAAATTCTATATGGAACTTACACGAATTTAATATTCTATTGATCACATACCCTAAAATACTCTCAAAACACTCCGAAAACAAATGTAGCGTTTTGACTTTCCACTATAAACAAAAGTGACACATGCGTACTTAGGCTATTTTAATCAGGCGCATGAAAAATAGTTCCATTGTGAATATAAAATATTCTTTTATTATCTTACACTTTCATAATATATGAAATCGAAATCAAAATTTTAATGTAATGAAAAGGTAATGTAGAAACCATGCTTTGGTCAATGTCTATCCAATGTGTACTTTGTGACGTGTACACAAGTTATCATCGGCATGTATATTATGCGGACAGTTCAAAAAAAGTGTTCACCTTTTTTTCATTTGAATCGTTTTCAAACAAAACGAAAGTCGTTTTGGTTTGGTTTGGTTGGTGGATCTCTAAATAAATCTGATTTGACAATTGTTAAATGTTTCTCCCTAGACAGGAGCACTTAATACCTCCTGAGACATTAATCGTTTGTGTTGATTCATGGCGGAATGATGAGGTTGACATGACCTTGCAGAGTTCTCAGAATTTTGTGTATTGACGTTTTCACATGTGTTTTGATGAAGGATTTGAGATATATTCCTGTGTTGATCGTTATTAATATGACTATATTTGTTGATTGAAGAACCGTTTCTGAGGCCAGAAATTTGTACAATATGTGTTGGTGGAACATTACTGTAAAACAATTTTTGGATCAGATATTTTCTTGCACAATGATTAGACAATTTTTACTCTTTGGAATGTAAGCATTTTTGAGCATAGTGGACATAATCTTGTAGTGTTTGTTGATTACAACAGCATTTGTCTTGAACCAGGTTTCTTCGTCAGAAGGTAAGGGTTTTGTTGTTGCAATGTAGAATGGATTGTGTGGAAGTGAATAACCAGCTGGACGTTTATTTGCATATATTTTGTATATTTTGATGGGACATCGATCAGGATTAGAAACATTTGGCTATAACTTTGGTGTAACTTCTCGGATATTTCGAGGATCATTTCCAGTGCGTGTTAACAAAATTCTAAATATTCATGACCGTTTGTGTTGGATTTTAATGTTACGTCTCTCCAACACATATCACGATGTTTAGACCTCCCGCGTAAGCAAAACAGTATTATAAAACCATAATATCTGAAGTATCGAATCTGGTGTTTCACTGTCCAGCCAGCTATTTTTTTTCTGCCATAATATTTCTATTTCTTGGTCTGCTTTATTTGGAAAATTACCCTTGCCTTCCCTTTCTTGCAGTGCATTCTTGCTTTTTTAATACTTCACGAAAATTTTGGGCTAGTAGATATGTATTCACCGTAATTAAATCGGCGTAGCTGGCGGTCAAAGCTTGACATCATACCCCTTACAGTAATAAAAAATCTTGAACGAATGGTAGAGAGTTCAGCAGTCGGGATATTTTGAATTTCCCGACTTTCATTTATTACAGGTTGTTGAAGAAATTCTTTGAAAATTTTAATGTCATACAATGTCTTTGACAAGATGTTTTGATAACTTTGTCCAAGAATAAATTCTTCAATGTTGACATTAGTACTGGACAAAAATCTTGAATGACATTCCGTCGTCTGCAAACGCTCACTTTCAAAATGTGACGATGGTATTAGCGATAAGCGTTCAGTTGCAGTTTTACTTCAAAGTCAACGTCTTTCATTTGACCATATAAAATGTTCCAAACCAATGGTGAACCCTTTTGAGGACGGTTGCTTCCCCTTTTCCGTCAATTTGTACCGATTGACCCGCCTAAAAAATTAGGCCAGCCATATTGTTTTTTGTTGACAAACGGCGTAGGAATACATTTCATGTGAAACGGTACATTAGCATATTATATGCATGGCCGTGCAATACCGTTTTTACGGAGTCGAAAAATCGGCACGGGTATGTGATAAACAGTATTCTTAAATTAGATCATATTTATTATGACCTATTACTGTTAATGTATGGAAAGAATATAAATACAAGTTACAACATGAAGCGGTAAAAGTAGCGTTAATTATAAAATCAAAAACATATCTAATAATATATGTATATATTTCAGAACGCAAATACTACTGGGATGAAAAATGGCAAACGTTCTGAACATTTATAGAAAAATACATGTTTGGATTAGGAATTCTGCACATAAACAGATTGTAACAAAACATGTTCCCGTTAAACAATGAAATGGCATAAAAAAACGAAAATTTAATCTCACTTATAAAAAAATATACACTAAACATTTTAATTAACTTTGTTTTCAAATTGTAATTTTCTAGAGATAATTAATTATTATATATAACGAGAAAGAGCTTTTAAAGATATATTGCCTGGTAAAGGCTTATGATTAATTTTCGAGCAGAATGATCATTTTACACGGAACGATATCTAAAACGTCTTAACAATTAAAACATGACATGAACATGCGTAATTAAAAAAATGAAACAAAAAGAAACGTAAAAATGCATACAAAAATCTAAAAAAGAAAAAAAAAAGAACTAGAACTTACACATACTATGCAATTCTAAGATAACTGAAATTTTAAGATTTTTACATTTGTATGTCCTATTTACATCTGAAGATTGTTTAAATGGGCGTGACTCATAAGAATATCAGCATACCAACGAATCGCTATTTAATCAAGTTCAATAGGCAGGAAGGTACCTGGGCTTTTTGGATCATTAGAAATTTCATTCTGAATCAGACATGAAAGACACGCGAACATGATTTCACTGTCTCGTTTACTTTGTTCATTTTCACGAACCATGTCACAAATACTTGTGTCACTGACTATTTGATCTTGCAGTGTAACGTTTGTAGCGCCGCTAACCACTGTAGCTAGAGTGCAATCAGCTGCTTCTACTTTCAAGTCTTCAATTTCAACAGCTTCATCATTCTCTTTTAAGGAAAATGCCTTGGATGTCTGTTTTTCAGAGTCGTCACCGAGATATGGAATCTTATGCTCGTAATTTATATCAATTGAACCATTATCCATGATGTCTTTTACGTCATCAAAGTGCTGTCCTGGCGCAGGGTTCTCAGAACCTTTAGAAACCACCTCGAAAAAAGAACAATCCATCTTCATGTTTGTAAGGCCAACGGTGTCTTCGAGACAAGTAACAGGATCCATTTTTTGGTTTATAGGTGTAACATGATCCTTATCATTTTCTCGCACAGTGCTGTCGTATTTCTCAGGAATGAGAGTTGAACTTGATGTAGGGAATTCGTCAGGTGTTGCATCAAGTAAAGGACTGGCTTCTTGAGAGCTCTTTTCCAGCACTCGTCGGACAACCTAGTGCAACCGACAAAGTATTTTGTTAAAGTCATATATTTATTGTAACTGCAAGTTAATAAGTACCACTTAATCATAATGAAATTTTGAGATAATTAAGACACTTTTAAATGAATATTTCATTAGTTAAAGTTCTTTCAAAATAAACTTTTAGTCCTCATGTTCAGAATTTTCATGATCAAATAGTACACAGAATTCTCACCTCTTTCCTAAATATAACCTAAACATAAGTGCTTTTGAACGAATTTGATGAACCTTTACGTTTTCTTTGACGATTTTTTATCAATTTCATATTATATTACAATCAATGGAAGATTTCATTTACAACTGACTTAATATTTCAAAATAGATGCAAAACAAATTCATTTTGACGCGTGCTTTGTACGCCAATTTTAATTTAGAATTGCTGAATATAAAAATATACGAAACAACAATATAATGTAGAAAAGAAGCCACTTAATGTGATATTTATCTATTTTAATCTATAAATTGATTACATTACCTTTTTCTTTTTAAGAAATGGTTTTCCATCATATGACAGAAATAGTGCTTCCGGTTCTTTGTATTTCTCCCCATTTTGTTTCGTTATTTCACGCACTAGATTTCTCCTGGCAAAGTCAGCATACAGACGAAGATTTTCAAACTCTTCATGTCCTAACATAAGACAACGGTCTTTCACGTACATGAAGTAAAATGTATCATTTCTTTTTGTTTTAAATGTTTCTGTTTCGCAGTAAGCACTAAACGAAAGCGATAGTACTGTATTCCTAGATTCTCCTGTTTGTTTTGTTACGCTGCCGATAGTGTACTCTAGAAAAACACTATATTGATAAGTGTCAAGAGGTATAGGCGAAAGCGGAAGAAATTGCTTCATTAAAGATATCATGCTTTGTGTCATATTGTGCAAGTCTAACGCAGTCGTTGATTTATGTTGTTTTCTTTGTCGTCTTGTCTTTGTCTTTTCCAATGGAACCACTGAAGCGTCAATTTTCTTTAATTTGTTTGGTATATCTTCATTTCCGTAAATCATTATATCTCTATTTACATGCATTCTTTTTCGTTTTACGATTATTTCTCCAGATGATAATACTGAACACCTGTCAGACAACTGCCCTGAAGAAATTGAAGAACCTGTCAGGGAAGACAGATCCATATCGTCCTCTCCAATTTCCTCTATGACTGGACCATTTGTTGTATTATTAATTTCTCCAGTGGCAGAAGATACAGTATTACTAAATTCTCTTGTAGCTGTTAAATCTACAGTATTCCGCATTCCTTCGTTAGCTAAAGGTAATACCATACATTGAGAAGCATTCGGCAACATATTACATGTATTTCGTATTTCATTATATGGAAAGAATTGTAACATTTCATCACCACAGTTTGGCTTCGTTATCATATGAAACGTTGGCTGGAATTTCTTTCTTTCTAAGACCATGGGCAGTAATGGTGGCACTCTGAAAGAATACTTATTTGATAATCAGTTTTATTTAGTAATTGGCAAACTACGAGGAGTGTTCAAATATGAGTCTATCCAATCACGTAAAATTTGATTCTTCCCATGGGTTTCACTTAATTGTTTATTTTGTTCCCTGAAAATATACCCCTCCAATAGATAAACAAACTTTTAGTCCCCGAATATTATATTTGAAGGCACTTTCATCGTCTTATTTATGTTTACTATGAAGACACCGGAACATTGCAAAAAACTTAGCGTATTTGCGCTTAACAAATTGTCGACCTCAAATATATCATTATAGTTTTGAAAACAAAAAGAAGTCACAATTAAGGTGCAAGTCAGGTGAATAAAGAGGTTGAAAGAGTACAACGACCTTTTTCCGCTTCAAAAAGTCTTGAAATATATAGACACCTTGTGTGATGACGCGTTGACATGCAACAATCTGACATTAACCAAACCTGTTTTGAGTCTCTGTTGTCAAAAGTGTTTGTTTAGTTTTCGAAGAACCTTTGTCTTGTAAAATTTGGCATTAACAGATTTGCGTTACGAAACATCAACTTGTACCCTTAGTTGTAAAGAAAATTACATTACCTTCTCTATACTAATGGTCTTTTTTGCAATGCATGGTCTTTTGACAGACTTTGTAGCCAAGATCTTAGTTAAAACAATATTACAAAACATAGATATACATTACAACCAGAAGACCTTGTATAAGAAGACTCATGAAAAACTGAATATATAAATTTAGTGGTAAACATTGCTAAAGAAATAATAACCTAATTAAATTCAAAAGCGGATTTGAAAACAAGTCCAATATTTATGTTAATTAATTTCCTCATTGGGCTGGAAAGGATGACGACAGACTCGTCAAAATAACGTGTAATGTTTTGAGATTTGTATTCACAATAAAATTGATAAAAGAGTCCCAGTGTGGAACTGAGTTGTTTGCTACCGAAACACAGTTATTATATGTATAAATCATGCTTATGAAGTCGTTCTGCAACATGTCCAAGCACTGTGATTTGAAACGTTTGGTGGAGACAATGTATGTTTGAACGCAACTAAAGATACTTATGTTTTGTTCAGAGTTGAGATGTTCAGAGCCATGTTTCATCGAAATTTTTAATTGTGGATTCATTCATTTTTAAGTCAGGGTGAAGAGGTTTGTTATTTACACGAGAGTATCATGGATTCTGTATTTCTGGGATTGAAATCGATTTACCAGAATTTTGCCCAATAATGTATATTTTGCAAGTTATTGTTAAGAATAAAAGAGGCAGAGTCAGGTAGGTCAACAATAAGATAGCGGCTAGTGTCGTCTGTAAAAACCTGATATTTGATTATATTTTACTGACAATATCATTAATAAAAATAAGGAATAATAGGGGTCCTAAGATTACGCCTTGCGGTACACCAGCTAATATATTACTCAAGTTTGACATTGAATTTCTAATAACAACACATTTTTGACGATTTGACAAATACAAAGTGAATCATTGGTGAAGTTGACCGGATATACCTATTGACGATAATTTACTAAGCAGGCCACGGTGCCAAACACGGTCAAACGCCTTTGAGATATCACAAAAGACCATTCTTATTTCTTTGCCATCATCAAAGACTATACAAATATCGTTAAAAATGAATATTAGTTGGTTGGTGGTGGAGTCCCCTTTCATAAACCCAGATTGAAAGTCAGGAAGAATAGTGTTTGATATTTGATCTTGTTTAGGTGTTTTCGTTTTGGCTCATGAAAATAAACCCTCATGTTTTTTCACCAGCCACGACATTTGCAAAAGACCTGTTTAAGAGACAACTTAGCGCAATACACGAGCCTTCTTTTTCTCATATTTCAGAAAACGGGGAATCCATCTAGCACAGATTTTCCCATTTTCAAATCACGTTTGAAAATGGTATGAGCTGCTCTCTATGAGATACTAGATATATGCCTTGTGGTATATCTTACATCGGTAAAAACTTTTTCTATCACTTTAGCAACCATCTTGACATACATTGCTGTTTAGACCGACGGACATGGAGTGCATCTTCAGTCGAGATTTTAACCCATATTTGATCTTTTAACTGACTACTAACTGATGAAAAAGACATTTCATTTTGTTCGTATACAAAACAGATTTCATAAACACCTTATGACAATGAGACAATTACCGTATTTCAATGACATACACTTTTCTAATAGCAACCATTTTTTTGGATAACAATATACAAGTAGACAATGACAACAGAGCATTAAAGCCAGCGAAGGTGTAGTATCAATGTAAAGCTAACATGTATATCTACCCAAAAATCTTCATTAATTTTTAGTTTTTTTGCAATAGTGTACAATATAACAAACTTATATTTTTTTTGGAGAAAGACACAAAAGCGACCTAGATATATATTAATAGGTTTAACTCACAATAAAATAGTTCAACAATCAAATTACCTCATAAATTCCTTAAATTTTTCTAGAAGAAGATTATTTGATCTTTCTCTCAACGCTTCCTCTATGTACTCTGTGCTCACATTAGAGCCCATGATCTGTTTCCATTGGTTAAATAGCTCGAACATTAATGTTTCGGAATCTCCCCCGTCTCTGCGTACTCTAGTTTCAACATTTTCAATAAAACTTCCAGTATCTCTGCCTCCTCCGACTTGCAAGTGATGACAACTACCTAGGAGCAATGTAAGAGAACCTTACAATAGAATTAAGAGGTATTACTTCCTTTGTTTTAAAAAGGGTGACAATTTCCTAGTGATTAAGGTAAAATAACTGCACAAAATTATCTTTACACAAACATGAAATCGTATTTTGCCTTTACAATTTTGATACAATACTGTATCATTAATGAAATATATTTTTCAGTTCATTTGTTACAAGTCATTAACTAGTTAAGATACTTTGAAACTCTTTTATGAATGTGTGTTAAGATTGTACATTTACTATAGTACTCAGTACTCTTTTTGAACCTACCGTATAATATGTTGAAAAACAACTTGTGGTCAGATGCTGTTAGATTTTTAGCTAGAAACCTAAATATTTCGTCCCAATTAAATCTTGAAGATGACAGATATTCTGAAAATATTTGATCTCATTTTAGCTTATACAAAAATTAATAAATGAATGAATGAATAAATAAATAAATAAATAAATAAATAAATAAATAAATAAATAAATAAATAAATAAATAAGTAAATGAATAAATAAATAATTATAAATAAATAAAAAAATAAATAAACACGTAAAATAGCCTCATATAAATGATAAAATACTTTTACATCTCGACTAAGAGTATGCGCAAAATATATAAGATTAAAAACTAGATAATATCAATTTGATAGATCCCTATCCTGTTTCTTTTATTTAAATTACAATAGATTTAACCACACAGATTGACATGTGCATTTTTGTTAAAAAATATGTTGTGGTGAAATTCTTATTGTATCTACTTAGCAGATAATTAGAATGACAAAGGTCAGAAATATTTGCATGTAAAGCTTATTATAATAACTTGCTCGGTTACAGAATGGATAGGATTTTACCTTTGTTTTGCTCTTGCACTGGACCAGTTAGGGGCTGAACAATAGATATTTTAAGATTGTCAACATTTTCAACAGAAACCGGACATTCCTTGACTAGTTGTTTGTATGACGTGATAGTTTGATGATCGTTACTCTTCTTTAATTGAGTGAGCTCAGTTGGAGAACTGTTACCTTCCAACAGAGGTATATATTGTTCTTCAGCATTCGACACGATAGAAGGCTGAGCTCTGTCATCGGATACATTGCCAATAACAGTCAATTCATGTCGACTCTTGTTACATGTATATTCTTCTATACCTCCATCCATATGCTTTAATGACGTGAAAGTTTGTTGATCGTTACTTTCGTATATTTCATTTTTGCATTGAGTGAGCTTTGTTGAAGTACTGTTAACTTCCAACAAAGCTTGTAAGGTTTTTTCGGAAGGGATATATACCAGGGGTATATTGTCTTCTTTAGTATTCATCAAAGCTTGTCTTCTTCTTCTTCTATTCATTGTACACCGACTGTTTTATAAAAAAAAAATATTTAAACTTTATATTGTCAGATAATTATAGTCAAATACAATAATTTAATAATAATTTCAATATCATAGGTGCTATGTATATTTTACTAAAGATTACTATACTTGATATTCTTACTTTCTTATAGATGGTCATATCAAGCGATATGAATCAAAAAAATACTAGTAACCTTCGAAGTTTGAATAAATCTGTATTGATCAATTTGTAACAAGGTAAGTGTTCATAGAAATGCTCTATTGTCAAAGAAAGAAAAAAAAGAAAACAAACCGTTTCAATAATACTCCGTGATATGCTATAATGATAAGCACAACTGCTGAACCAATCAAAGATGCTATCAGTGTTACGAACACTTGTTTGTCATGATGTTTCACACTATCATTTATTGTCGTATATTCTGAAGTGTTCGTTGCCATCGTTGACGTCTTTATTTTACTTGCATTTATAGTCGTCATCACAGGTTCAATTGTTTTTCGATTGCCTTCATAAGGAAAATTAAATATAAATGATAAGTAATATAGAAATTGACCGTTTCTAAGCAGGTAGAACAATAATTATATCTACAGTAATGCTTCAATATGTAGAGATAAAAAAGAGTTTATGCCTAGGTCACAAATAAAACGGCCGCCGACCGATTTTGGAGACGACCCATATTCAAATTTGACCTAGAAATCACCAAAACAAGCTTTCTGACATATTTCCAGGATATTTGGATCAAAATTGCAGCCACTACAGTGTTATAAAGATTTTTCTATTTTTAACTCCCGTGACCTAGTTTTTGACCGGAGATGACACGTCTTCGAATTTGACCTAGAAATCATTAAAAAAAACGTTCCTGACAAATTTCCAGAAAATTTGGATCAAAACTGCAGCCACTAAAGTGTTAACAAGCTTTTTCTATTTTTAGCTCCTGTGACCTGGTTTTTAACCGGATATGACCCACCTTCGAACTTGACCTAGAAATCATCAAAACAACCTTCCTGACAAATTTCCAGAATATCTGAACCAAAACTGCAGCCAGTAGATTGTTTACAAGCTTTTTCTATTTTTAGCTCCTGTGACCTAGTTTCTGCCCGGAGATAACCTATCTTCGATCTTGACATGGAAATTATCAAAACAACCTTCCTGACAAATTTCCAGAATATTTGGATCAAAACTGCAGCCACTGGAGTGTAAACAAGCTTTATCTATTTTTAGCTTCTGTGACCTGGTTTTTAACCGGATATGACCAATCTTTGAACTTGACCTAGAAATCATCAAAACAACTTTCCTGATAAATTTCAAGAATATTTGAATCAAAACTGCAACCACTAGAGTGTTAACAAGCTTTTTCTATTTTTAGTTCCTGTGACCTAGTTTTTGACCGGAAATAACCCATCTTCAAACTTAGTCTAGAAATTATCAAAACAACCTTACTGACAAATTTCCAGAATATTTAGATCAAAACTGCAGCCACTAGAGTGTTAACATTTATTTTTTATTTTTAGCTGCTGGGACCTAGTTTTTGACCGGCGATGACCAATCTTCAAACTTGACCTATAAATCATCAAAACAACCTTCCTGACAATTTCTAGAATATTTGGATCAAAACTGCAGCCACTAGAGTGTTAGCAAGCTTTTTCTATTTTTAGCTCCTGTGACCTAGTTTTTGACCGGAGATAACACATCTTCAGACTTGAGCTAGAAATCATCAAAACAACCTCCCTGACAAATTTCCAGAATATTTGGATCAAAACTGCAGCCACTAGAGTGTTAACAAGCTATTTCTACTTATAGCCCCTGTGACCTAGTTTTTGACCGGAGATGACCCATCTTCGAACTTGAGCTAGAAATCATCAAAACAACCTTCCTGACAATTTTCCAGAACATTTGGATTAAAACTGCAGCCGCTAGAGTGTTAACAATCTTTTTTCTATTTTTAGCTCCTGTGACCTAGTTTTTGACTCGAGATAGCCCATCTTCGAACTCGATCTGTATTTCATTGAGACAAACATTCTGACAAAGTTTGACAATGATCCAATCAAAACTGTGACTGCTAGACTGTTAACAACCCAATTGTTGACGACGAGCGACGCACGCACGACGACGGACGCCGGACATAGCCCCATCACTATACCTCAGCTTGACCACTTCGTGGTCAGGTGAGCTAAAAAAACCTCAAGCCCCGGCGATATAAAACGATGAACACCGGTGCCTGTGCAAATCTATTTAAATATATGACGTATTGTATTTAGAGTTTAAAACGTAACATATCTTCTTTGAGTGTACTCAAAAGATGTTTATTTTACATTTAAAAAGAGACTGTGTAGCAATTATCATTATTTTCAAGTATCAAATTTTAACGTATCGTTAAGATTTTACCGATTCTTTGACTATCACTTAATTAATGTCCTTGAAAAATAGCGCAGGATAGCTTTTTCAAATGGTGTTATCGTCTAAATACCCTTGTAAACAAGATTTAGTTAGACTGGTTATAACTCAGAGTTTTATTAGCATTGCTCTGTACCCCTAAGAAATGTCACGGTTCAGAACTGTTCACTATTGTTTCATGAACATTCAATGGAGGTAATTCTGATATTTTTTGTGTTAGAGTTGTAAACATTGTCACATATGATGTGGTTGATGACAGAAAATTTATCTAAATTTTGAAGTAACTACCTTAAGAAATAAAGAACTTAAGTGAAAAAGCGTAAACACTAAAATCAGAAATTTTTTAATTCAGTCTACTTGTTGCCATAGTAACCAAAATTTTCAGCATAGGAAGAAAATGGCGTGCATAATCTCCATGCTGCCATCTATCCATATATCAAGTCTAATAAAAATATTTTAAGTACTTTTGGCGTTATCGCGGGATCCAGTTTTGTGGATGGACTGACGGACGGATGGATGGACGGACGGATGGACGGACGGATGGTAAACCTTACCCGGAAGTTGACTAATAAGAATCAATTTGAATAGAATAAGATATGAATTATTAATTTATGATTTTCCTGCTCTTGAAATTGATTAAAATAAGTGAGTCATTGCCAGGGACAAATAACTCATAATTTTAGCAAGATGTCCGCCAACTTTCCTTTCATAAACTTGTTTTATTAATGGTTCAAAATATTTATTTGTTTGTTTGTTTGTTTATGCCCTGCTTTTTACACCGAATTTTAAACATTTTTGGTTTTTATCTCGGCGGTTGACTCACCTAACCGGCATTCATGGATAACTGACCAGTAATTACAAATTTATCTGCAAATCAAAGACTAATATTTCCTACATGACTTCTGAATCAGTGGTAAGAGACGGATAATCATTAGAATCAATGTCCGAGACCAATTGTCACAGAGAAAATTGATTGAGATAGGGACCCCTAGAAAGTAAGAACAACCAGTCTATTTGTTTATATTAAATAGAAAATAATGTTCCATATAGTTTAATGTATAAGTAAAAGTCTCTTTCCTGTGCGTCACTTCGATACCAAAATACTCACACGGGTTTTGTGACAGTCCATGAAAATTCCTAAATTTCTAAACTAAATATCGTTTTCAAAAAGATCATGAAAACCATAAACGACACAATAAAGTCAATCATTCCTTGCACTCTGTGTTACATAATCAAGTAAGCATACTTGAATCGAGGTGTGTGAAATAAATAAGATCTTTGTATTTATACTTTTAGGTTCGCCTTTTGCTCAATAATCTAAGCGATTTATCAACGGTCTTTAAAGCTTTGACTGATTATTAACATTCATTTGCATCTTTAAAAGTTGTAACATAGTGACACTTATGGTTAATTATTTATACATGTTTTAGTTATCTTAATTGATTTATTTGATTATCAACATTTAATTAGTTTTGATTGCAAACTTCATTACTTAATTGTATATCGATATAATATACATTTCTTTGGAATGTTGTTTCATAAAATTTGAAAGTTTAACTACATATACATTTCTGGCAGTGAAATTTGCCTGCTAGCTGACAGATGTTGTTTATTTCTATTATGGTATTTCAATATTTAAGTACATTTCGTCAAATTAGACGTTAAAATTACAATTAAATATAAACCATTTTAATTGTTGTGATGAGTGTTTATCAATATAACATTTGACCAAAAGTCAAATTTGAATATGTAAATGTGCTTTTGATTGGTTATAGGGCGTAACAAACGTTTGTTATACTAAATGTGATTGGCTACTTTGTTATGTCATTTAGCTGTCAGAAGCACGTGCAAAGTCATAATAAAAAGCATTGTATTGTTTTAACAGGAGGAGTCTCTCGTAGTTCTGCTCTAAAGTAACTTAATTTATGTTAAGGACAATATTTCAATAAATCACTATACGATCGTTTCGTTTACGTTTGTTAGTTATTTTATTAAATAACGTTTCAAGGTACACAATATCGCATCAAAAGGGGAAAACTGTGCACGGGATATCGTTATGAGCGATTTATCGTTTCGATATCGTTATAAAGGGTGTTTACTGAACATCTTTCACGTATTAAAACATTAATGCTTTGTACACAATTTATTTACGGAGGAAGGCGGCAGACAAAGATATACAGAAATAGCATTGCTTCCTATTCAGTTTGTCAGTTTTATAGAAGTGTCGAATAAATCAGTTTACAAACCTACTTTTGTCAGTGGCCTAGTTTGAATAAATTTTAAATAATAATAATCATCCATCAATTAGTTCTGTAGAAATAGACGTATAAAGGTATTTATATTTTTAGCTTTAGCGGCCCCTCAAAGTTTATATGAGCAAACTTGATTAAAAGACTACCTAAGAATACTACATACAAAGTTTGGTGATCATCCATTAATTACTTCTGTAAAGAAAAGACATTTAAAGGTATTTCTATTTTAGCTCTAGAGACCCCTTAAAGGGGCCAATTAAATTAATATGAGCAAACTTGATAAAATACTACCAAAGAATGCTATATACAGACAAAGTTTGGTAATTATCCATCAATAAGTTCTGTAGAAATAGACATTTAAAGGTATTTCTATTTTTAGCGTTAGCTGCCACTAAAGAAGGCAACTTTAATTAATATGAGCAAACTTGATATAAGACTATCCAAGAATGCTACAGACAAAGTTTGGTATCACCATCAATTAGTTTTGTAGAAGATGACGTATAAAGATTCTATTTTAATCTTACGCGGCCACTAAAACGGTCAATCAAATTAATATGAGCAAACTTAATTTAAGACTACCCAAGAATGCTACAGACAAAGTTTGGTGATCATCAAATCAATTAGTTTTGTGGAAATAGACGTTTAAATGTATTTCTATTATTTGCTTTAGCGGCCCCTTAAAGGGGCCAATCAAATTAATATGAGCAAACTTGATAAAAGACTTCCCAAGAATGTCAAAGACAAAGTTTGGTGATCATTCATCAATTACTTCTGTAGAAATAGACGTTTTAATGTCTTTCTATTTTTAGCTTTAGCGGCCCCTTAAAGAGGCCAATCAAATTAATTTGAGCACAATTGATATAAAACTACCCAAAAATGCTACAGAAAAAGATTGGTGATCATCCATCAATTAGTTCTGTAGTAAAAGAAAATGTTTTAAGGTTTTTCTATTTTTTAGCCCTAGAGACCCCTAAAAGGGGCAAACCACTTTAATATGAGCAAACTTGATAAAAGACTACATCAGAATGCTACAGACAAAGTTTGGTGATCATCCATCCTAGTTCTGTAGAAGAAGCTGTTTAAAGGTTTTTCTATTTTTAGCCCTAGAGACCCCTAAAAGGGGCAAACCACTTTAATATGAGCAAACTTGATAAAAGACTACCCAAGAATGCTACAGACAAAGTTTGGTGATCATCCATCAATTAGTTCTGTAGTAGAAAATGTTTAAAGGTTTTTCTATTTTTAGCTCTGTTGACCCTTTAAAGGGGCCAATTGAAATGACATGAGCAAATTCAAGTATAACTGTCACAAGGATGCTACAGATCAAATTTAAAGTAAATTTGCCCAGCATTTTCAGAGAAGAAGACGACTGTTTACGCATGACGACGGACGCCGGAGCATCCCCTTTTTATACTAATAGCTCACCCTGAACCTTCGGTTCTGGTGAGCTAATAAAGTCTTTAATTAAAGATGCATCAAAGGCAATCTACCCTGTGGGCCTCATTTTATCCCTTTTAACAAATTACTATAATTCTTAAACCTCACATTTGCTTTAAGATAATGAAAGTTTATTATCAGTTTTACGAGTGATGAAAACAATTTCTATGGAGCAAGGATCAAACGGAATCGGCTTTTTTGATATGTTAGAATTTCCATCCATAATGTAATTGATAAATGGCAAAAGTAGTCGTTACATTTAATTTATTGAACTTGTTGAATTAATTATCATGCTCGCTAGAATTTCTCTTTATACATATATTTCTGAATAAGTATACTGTATGTGTTAAACTGTTTAAAATTAAAAGTGCGTTAACATTAATTTTCATAGATGGTTAAATCAGCTTTTATAGGTCTATTACCCCATAGAGAAGCAACTAACAAAGAGGACTAGGTTTGCTAAAGTAGCGACATTACAAATACAAGAACGATTTTTTAAAAAAAAGTGACCATTTCACCGATAACCAATCCTCTATTTATATAATGGTACTTACAAAAGTCATCCTCTTACCAGAGGCGTAACAGATACTGCTTTTAAAAACATCTAAAATATTTTCAAGATAAGTCGGCTGATCTTAATAACTTGAAAGTAGAATATTTGATTATACACAATTTTAGAAATGTGTCTGTTTAGCAATGACTAAGAACAGTGGTAAAATCAAAGTGAACTTGGAAAAAACAATTTTACCTCATAGCAATAAATATCTGAACAAATATTAAATTGATATTCATATTAAGCTAACGAGTAACAGTTTTAATGCAATAATTAAGAAGGGGTTTTAAAAGTGATACGCGCTTCACATCTGTACATTACTAAAATATTGGCAACAATTTTTAACCATGGCCAATACAACATCTTACATTGTGAATTATTTTTGTAAAGACTATACTCACTAGGTCGTTTTGTCGCATTGCGTTTCCTTCTTCTAAAAAGTGGACTTTTAGGAACATACTTTAGGGTTTGTAGTTCTTTTCCTGTTTAATAAAATTAAACATAACACATGTTATATAATGCAAATACAAGTAGGCGAGCTTTTCCCAAAACACAAGACTAAAGTAATATATCACATCCGATTCCAAAAAAAAGATCTTTGCTATTGTCCTCTGTTTAGGTTACGTATGGTTTTGGTTCAAATAAAGTTAACTTTAGATAGCACAGTTGAGACATAAGAGATGTAAAAAAAATCTATAAAACATAACATACATTGGACAAATAAGTTTCTTTTTTTTTTTTTTTTTTTTTTTTTTGACAGGTATAATAAATAAAGATGGCTAAGAAAATAGATTTAACTCTGAAGCTGTCTCAAAACGGTCTTGAACCATTTTAAATCAAGGACATAAAACCCATGTTAATAATTAAGTAAATCTAATGAGATTTTCACATACATGTAGTTCTTTTGAATTTGAAAAAAAGAACATGAAAAGGGACATATGATTGATAAAAGATGTCGTGAGAAAAGAACAAATCGGGACATAAATACAAGTTGAATATTCTTACTATTCATATAACACAAAAATGTATTACTACTATGTGATAGTATAAAACTACTCGACCAAATGCTCATAAACAAAGATTTGATCAAACTGAACAATATGCTGTTATTTAACGATGATTTCTACCCAAAATTTCAGAACAACAATATACAACTTATTATAAATTTATTTTCAAAAATACGGATTTGAACAATATCAAAAATGATATTGTCTGTACTTCTATATTATTATGCCCCCGCCATGTAATGGCCGGGGCATATAGTGTTACCCTGTTCCGTCCTTCCGTCCTTCCGTCATTCTGTCATTCCGTCATCATCAGTTTCCGTTCATTATCTTAGTAACGGTTGCACATATTCAACTCAAATTTAACATATGGATATGTCATGAGAAAATACAGGTCAAGTTCGAATTTGGTCATGGTTCGATGATTTTTGGCAGAGTTATGCCCCTTTTACTTTGAAAATAATATGAAATTTTCAGTTTCCGTTCATTATCTCCCCAACGGTACAACACATTCAACTCAAATTGTACATATGGATATGTCATGAGAAAATACAGGTCAATTTCGAATTTGGTCATGGTTCGATGATTTTTGGCAGAGTTATGCCCCTTTTACTTTGAAAATAATATGAAATTTTCAGTTTCTGTTCATTGTCTCCCCAACGGTAAAACACATTCAACTCGAATTGTACATATGGATATATCATGAGAAAATACAGGTCAAGTTCGAATTTGGTCATGGTTCGATGATTTTTGGTAGAGTTATGCCCCTTTTTCTTTGAAAATAATATGAAATTTTCAGTTTCCGTTCATTATCTCCCCAACGGTACAACACATCTAACTCAAATTTGACATATGGATATGTCATGAGAAAAAAAGGTCAAGTTTGAAATGGTCATGGTTCGATGATTTTTAGTAGAGTTATGCCCCTTTTACTTTGAAAATAATATGAAATTTTCAGTTTCCGTTCATTATCTCCCCAACGGTACAACACATTCAACTCAAGTTTGACATATGGATAGGTCATGAGAAAATACAGGTCAAGTTCGAATTTTGTCATGGTTCGATGATTTTTGGTAGAGTTATGCCCCTTTTACTTTGAAAATAATATGAAATTTTCAGTTTCCGTTCATTATCTTAGTAACGGTTGCACATATTCAACTCAAATTTAACATATGGATATGTCATGAGAAAATACAGGTCAAGTTCGAATTTGGTCATGGTTCGATGATTTTTGGCAGAGTTATGCCCCTTTTACTTTGAAAATAATATGAAATTTTCAGTTTCCGTTCATTATCTCCCCAACGGTACAACACATTCAACTCAAATTGTACATATGGATATGTCATGAGAAAATACAGGTCAAGTTCGAATTTGGTCATGGTTCGATGATTTTTGGTAGAGTTATGCCCCTTTTACTTTGAAAATAATATGAAATTTTCAGTTTCCGTTCATTATCTCCCCAACGGTACAACACATTCAACTCAAATTTGACATATGGATAGGTCATGAGAAAATACAGGTCAAGTTCGAATTTTGTCATGGTTCGATGATTTTTGGTAGAGTTATGCCCCGTTTACTTTGAAAATAATATGAAATTTTCAGTTTCCGTTCATTATCTCCCCAACGGTACAACACATTCAACTCAAATTTGACATATGGATAGGTCATGAGAAAATACAGGTCAAGTTTGAAATGGTCATGGTTCGATGATTTTTGGTAGAGTTATGCCCCGTTTACTTTGAAAATAATATGAAATTTTCAGTTTCCGTTCATTATCTTCACAACAGTACAACACATTCAAGTCAAATTTGACATATGGATATGTCATGAGAAAATACAGGTCAAGTTCGAATTTTGTCATGGTTCGATGATTTTTGGCAGAGTTATGCTCCTTTTACTTTGAAAATAATATGAAATTTTCAGTTTCCGTTCATTATCTCCCCAACGGTACAACACATTCAACTCAAATTTGACATATGGATATGTCATTAGAAAATACAGGTCAAGTTGGAATTTTGTCATGGTTCAATGATTTTTGGTAGAGTTATGCCCCTTTTACTTTGAAAATAATATGAAATTTTGAGTTTCCGTTCATTATCTCCACAACAGTACAACACATTCAACTCAAATTTGACATATGGATATGTCATTAGAAAATACAGGTCAAGTTCGAATTTTGTCATGGTTAAATGATTTTTGGCAGAGTTATGCCCCTTTTACTTTGAAAATAATATGAAATTTTCAGTTTCCGTTCATTATCTCCCCAACGGTACAACATTTTCAACTCAAATTTGACATATGGATATGTTATGAGAAAATACAAGTTAAGTTTGAATTTGGTCATGGTTTGATGATTTTTGGCAGAGTTATGCTCCTTTTACTTTGAAAATAATACGAAATTTTCAGTTTCTGTTTATTATCTCCCCAACAGTACAACACATTCAACTCAAATTTGACATATGGATATGTTTTTGGAATGCCTAGGCCCAGTTCGAATTTGTTCATTGTTCAATGATTTTTGGCAGAGTAATGCCCCTTTCACTTTGAAATTAATATGATTTACAGTTTCTGTTCATTATCTACCCAACAGTGTTACATATTCAACTCAAATTTGACATATGGATATGTCAAAGGAATGGGCAGGTCAAGTTGGAATTTGGTCATGGTTCGATGATTCTTTTGGCAGAGTTATGTCCCTTTCACTTTGAAAATAATATAGATACATCTTAGGAATAAGCAGTTTAAGTTTGAATATGGTCGTGGTTCAATGATTTTGGACAAACTTGTCTTTCTTGAATATTGGAAAAATTTTGAACTTTCAGTTTCAGCACTCATACTTTTGTGGAAATGTATGTAGCCATTATTTTGGCTACAAATATGAAATATGCTATTTTCAAAAGGTTAAGACTGAATAATTTCAGTGCCTTGAACATTGTATGGAAATGGTTTGTGTTAACATTGAAAAGTTTTAAGGGCTTTGAACTTAAAATGAAAACAATAATTTGTGCAAACAAATTTGGAACTAAATATTATAACATCTGAAATTTTGGCTGCATGCGGGGGCATCCGTGGCATGATGACACATTTCTAGTGTGTGTTATATGTGATAACTGTTTGTACATTTTTGCAAAACAAATTATGATTTATTTCATGATAAGTATGCCCATCTTTGAGTAAAATAATTTTATCGCAGAAATTTATTGAAATCTCTGAAATTCTTACTGAAAATGTCTAATTCGAATGATAGCATGTAAAAACTATCTATAACAAGAGCCATGTCAACATGACCATCCCCCGCCGAATGTGTTTGCTCATTGGAAGAATGTATATGTAGTAGAGCGGAATAATTCCATTTTAAGAGGTCTTTTGGTAATGAAAACTGATGGCTATAGTGATTACAGATTTGAAACCTATGTGAATACTGATGGCTGAAAATAACAAAGGGCAATTACTGAAAAATAACGCAGGGTAGGTTATCATTCTTGTGTGCTGCATCCCTCCTCAGTAAAATCTATCCACCTATGAAGTTTCAAGTTGATACCTCAAATACTTTTTGAGAAAAAAATTGAATTGAAAAATTAACAAAGGGCAATAACTCAAAAAATATAAAAGGTAGAGTTATCATTCTTGTGCAGTGCACACCTCCTGAGTGAGATCTATGCACCTATGAAGTTTCATTTTGATATCTCAAAGGCTTTTTGAGTTATGCTCTGGACAAAAATTAATTTTGAAAAATAACAAAGGGCAATAACTCAAAAATAATGCAGGGTAGAGTTATCATTCTTAAGCACTGCACTCCTCCTCAATGAGATCCATCTACCTTTGAAGTCTCAAGTTGATACCTCAAATACTTTTTGAGATAAGCTCTGGACAAAATAGCATGAAAAAAACAAAGGGCAATAACTCAAAAATTGTATAGGGAAGAGTTATCATTCTTGCGCACAACATTCCTCCTTAGTAAGATCTATCCACCTATGACATTTCATGTTGATATCTCAAACACTTTTTGAGTTATGCTCCACTCAGGTGAAAAATTAGGTATGAAAAATAACAAAGGCCAATAACTCAAAAATTATGAAAGGTAGAGTCATCATTCTTGTGCACTGCACACCTCCTGAGTGAGATCTATGCACCTATGAAGTTTCATGTTAATATCTCATAGGCTTTTGGAGTTATGCTCTGGACAAAAATCAATTTTGAAAAATAACAAAGGGCAATAACTCAAAAATCATGCAAGGTAGAGTTATTATTCTTGTGCACTGCACTCCTCCTCAATGAGGTCTATCCACCTATGAAGTTTCAAGTTGATAACTCAAATACTTTTAGAGATATGCTCCGGACAAAAATGTCGGACGGAAGGACGGACGGACGGACGGAAGGACGGAAGGTCGGACGGACGGAGACTATTTCTATATCCTCCGCCGAAAATTTTCGGCGGGGGATAAAAAAGCTGCATTCCCTATTAAAGGTCCTTTCTTTAACAAAAACTGCCAGTTTTTTTAATGACACTATATATTCATATTGTGGCCTTCTATATAGTGTAAAGAATTTAAAACATAACATATGTACTTTGTGTGAAGTCGAAACATATTGATTTTACATTTATAAAGAGACAGTGTAGCAATTTTCAATATTTTCGAATATCAAATTTGAGCTTAATATTTCTTTAAAGATCAGAAAATAAAACTTTTGTAAATTTGTTAATAACAAAAAAAATCAACAAAAAAAACCAACTATATTACCATATGGCTGCAAGCTGCCTCGTGGCAATGTGTCGCTCATTTCATACCCGGGTAAAGACAATAAACGAGTCATGCCTTGCTTAACATAATCATTTTCCAGCGACCTTTCAAAAGGTCGAGTTGCTTCTAAAAAGAAAGATAACAAAACAAAACAACTTCAAAGTCAACTGGTGATGGTTAGAGGTCAACTGATCATATTAATAATTCAATAAATATTAAGATCTTATATGATATTTTCAATACACAGAATGCGTTCATCAATAATAGAAATGTGGATGACATTCTTCATATACTATAAGTTCTGGAAAAAAAGCAAAATCAATAATCATGGGGGAGGAACTGTTACACGTCAAGAGTTCGTGTGATAACTGTCTCGGAGTTCGTCGGAAAACAGTTGTATATACTACAAAAACACTCGTAAAATATGATGATTTTCATTTATAAAAAGTGATTTTTAGGTGCTAAATAAAACTGTAATGATTACGGTTGCCTTACACCTTATATTATATGTCAAAAACTTTTTCATAGTCCATTTTTCATCTCCCCATTGCTTAAAACCTGGTAGTTTTGAGCAAAATTTCCAGAATATTTGCCAACTCTCAAGTTTAGACCTGTTTATTTCTTATCTTCATCCGTGCAATACATAATTATCTAATTACAAAATGTATAATGCCAAATTGCAAACATAATCCATGGCTAACAAATTTACACCAAATTTTTCAAATGACCTGGAGTTCTTGTGATAACTCTTAAGACGTTCTAGAGTTCTTATGATAATTTTTTTACTGCCAGTGTAATATTGTGATACTATATTCCGGATTGATGCACAAAAAACATCAATAATACATATGCATCAACTGTACGCGCACGTTGACATTTATAAACACTTAATTACTGAGCTAGCCTTGCAAACTGGTGCTTATATAATACTCAATAATATATACTATATTATATAGCTTGATTGCAGTTAATTAGTTTCACGTATTTGTTTCCTCCCATAACTTAAGGATAGAAAAACCACCAACAACACCTGAATATAAATTAATTGTTTTTACTAAACGTTTCGGCTTATGACTTCATCAGGACAAATATTCCTTGAGTAGTAATGCCAATTATTTTCCATTTATAAAAGCGCATGAAAGCAGAGAACAGCTTAATTCAATTGCAATTTTCGGCAATTTTAGCACTTGGGTATTCTGAAAGTACATGCAGTCCGATGAAAAACGTGTATTTAAAGGTTCTGAAGTTGTTATTATGTATGCGCTGGAAATATAATTTTTGCTTTTTTTCTTATTATATTGTGTCATATTATGAGTGTTCTATACTATTTTGTTGTGACACAGATCACTTAACAGACTGAAATGTACTTTTAATTCCTGCAACATTTAATTTTAAGTGCTGCTGACCGCTGAAATTTATTCATAAAAAGAATGGTAAGCAGGTATATAAAACTGCCTTATCTTGAAATTTCTTCATATTTTGAAATGCAATCACTAATAATGGCATTGATAAGTCAGTTGTATAACTATGGCCGGATAACACCAAAGCAATATTCCCCCGGCGTCGGATCAAAACATAAGTTAAAGATATTAGCAGCCTAACAGCCTAAAGTTCGCATCCTCACAACCTAAAGAAAACACATGAAAACGGTCAGAAATGCATGAGGATCATTTCACACATTTTGCAATATCGTGTGTTACGGCACCATATGTAAAACGGCACCATTTGTAAAAAAATCGGAACCAAATACGAATTTTTTTGCCTTTTTGCCCTGCACCAAATGTCAGTTTACAATCACCACCACCACCATTACTACTTTATTGTACTAGTTCTACTGCTAAAGGTAATACTGCTACTTTTACAACAACAAAACGTACGTACAATTGCTACTGGTGGTGGTGGTGATGATTATGATGATGATGATGATGATGATGATGATGATGATTATTATTATTATTATTATTATTATTATTATTATCTTGTTGGTGCTGGCGACGACGACGATGTTGATAATAATGATAAGACTATGTTATAGTACAGAAAATATTACCCCTATATATTACTCCAAGTGATTTTGTTTGCATTTTATGAATGGTGCATCTTTTCTTACTTATGGTGCATATCAAAAAATATTTTACATATGGTACCGAAAATACTGACATTTGGTGCAGGGCAAAACGGCAAAAAATTTCGTATTTGGTTCCGATTTTTTTACATATGGTGCACCATTTTACAAATGGTGCCGTTTTACATATGGTGCCGTAACAATCGTGATCTTTGTTTTTAAAGATGTTAATTTATATATATATATATATTTTTTTTAATTCTGACGCTTTGAAATTTGAAGTTAGCAACCAAGCAGCCTGACAGCTTAAAAAATGCATAGTACAAACATGAAAACCGTCGCAAATGTTTCTGTAGCGCTTACTTATAACTTTCCATAACTTTTTGCAACATCGCGATCGTTTTTCTTGAGAGATAATGAACTATTTTGTTTTCATTCTGACGCTTCGAAATTAATGAATTTAGCAGCTTTATAGCTTAAAGAAAACTAAGAATAGTACAAAAATGAAAACCGTCCGAAATGCATCTGTGGCACTTACTGATACGATTCCACGCCTTTTTTCAATTTCGTTATCTTTATTTTTTAAGTTTTTTTTTCATTCTGACGACATGAAAACCGTCGGAAATGCATCTGTGTCACTTACTTATGTCATTCCACGCTTTATTTTATTCATTCCGACGCTTCGAAATTTGTGAATTTCGCAGTCAAGCCGCCTAACAGCCTAAAGAAAACTAAAGATATTACAAACATTAAAACTGTTGGAAATGATTTGGTAGCACTTACTTATACATTTCATACACCTTTTCAATATAATGATATTTTTGAAGTTTTGAACTTTTAAAAGTTTTTTTTCTTGCGTGTGAAGTTGGCTGCCTATCAGCCTAAAGAAAACTAATGATATTACAAACAAGATAATGGTCAGAAATGAATCGGTAACACTAACTTAGACTATTCTTTGCCTATTTTCAATATCATGATATTTTAAAGATGTTGAACTTTTAAGGGTTTTTTTGTTGTTGAATTTTTTCCTGACGTGTGAAGGTTGCAACCCAGTACTTTGGCAGCCTAAAGAAAACTAAGGATAGTACAAACATGAAAACCGTCAGAAAGGAATCGGTAGCACTTACTAATACCATCCGACGCCTTTTTCAATATCGTGATCTTTAGTGTTTTTTTTTACATCTTGAACTTTATTTTTTCTTTTCATTCTGACGCTTCGAACTTTTTAAAGTTAGCAGCCTAGCAGCCTGGCAGCATTAAGAAACTGAGAATAGTACAAACCCGAACACCGTCGGAAATTCATCTGTGGCTGCTAACCTCACAAATTTCGAAGCGTCAGAATGAAAAAAAAATCAATATCTTAAAAAAATAAGATCACGATTAATTAAGTGATTAATTGGATATTTAACAACATTTAAAGCAAGGGAATATCAAGTCAGGTTATTTAAAGGGTAAGTAATACAGGCAAGGAAAAATCACGCAAAAAGATTGATCTTATCAATTGTACCAGTAATATAAATATGGACCGTATTAAGCCGTGGCGGAGAAGACTCTAGAGTCTATTTAGTTTAAGGACCGAGCTGACCCTGATTCGTTCATAGTACGTACAAAGGGAATTCAATGGGTTTCTACCGCGAGAGTGATGACCTTTGAGCGTTCTAGTAAAGAGTGCACATCGGAGTTTGTGTTGTGTAAGTTCATAGGCGCCGTAATTTACGTTCCGCGGCATTGTTATGATCCTCACTGCGGTTTTAATCGTTTCCAACCCGACCATGTATTTCTACCGCGTCTTAGGTCTCCATGATGAAAACTCAAGAAGGTGAATAGTATTATAAAACTGAAGTTATGTGGGAGTAATGGTATAATCATTTTGAAGTAGGAATCTCAAAAAAGTAATAAAACAAAAACACGTGTATACTCTACAAGATGTAATTTTATTCTCCTAAAATCCCTAACATCGATACGCTGACTAGGCTTGTTACTAAGCATGTGCAATATGTATATATTTATAAATTAGCTAGTACATCATGTCGAAGGTTATCCCAAAACTAATTGAGTTGTAGGCATTGTCTACGAAATTCGCGTAAGCCCTCGTCTAACCACTTTCAATATTTTAATTGTTTCATCCCTCCATATCAATATAGGATACCATAAAATGGTAACGTGAAAGGCCAATTATGAATATACAAAAATATTCTTTGAAGATACTCTAACGATTCGATTTGACTGTTTCAGAATAAGGCATAAATACGGTAGCGGATTTTTTTGAATATTTGACACATATGGCGCAAGTCACTGTATAAAACCTATTCGGGTGTATTTTGTACAAATATGTAAATATCGGAAATTCCATTCTAAAATTAGCTATAACGGGAAACCCATATAAAGAAAATCGTATTATACATGTATCATTAAATTTGGACGGGTATCAAATGAAAATAGATTTATAATAATAACATATATACACATTAAAATTGCATTTCATGTAAGGTGACAACAAACTGGAAAATAACAAATACATTTCAATAAAGCTCTGTAAAAGGTCATAAACAAAAGTTAACGTTAAAATATCTCTTGAAGAATGAATGATAAACTCACGTAGTGTTAAGGTGATATCTGTGTCAACTAAGAAAACAAACAAAGTCCAAATTAAATTCATGTTGAACAAGAACAAATTCATTGTAATGCCTATGTCCTGACACCGCGGAACGTCCAATCACTGCCAAATTTGAAAGTTGGCTCTGGTCTTTCTTGTGTTGCACAATCAGTTAAAGGTAGACTACCTTTATTTCAAATTAACATGTCTTAGGTGAAAATATTACATGTTCGTCAAAAGTCTAAGAAACTGTTTGTAAAAATTAAAACCTGATGAAATGATAACTTTAAAATAGCATGGTTCAGTTATGTGTGCAATGAAATAAACTTTATGCTATTAAGTTTTCCCACTGAGTCATATGTGCGGCACTTCGCAAGTTCATACAACTTTACATAAATTTATAAAGGGGTTAAATTTGGGAT